TTGCAAAATACACTTTTTCATAAGTACAATACTATCTATATCCATGCCTCAGTGGCCATTAGCAAAGTGTCTGCAATATAGACAATTGGTGTAGTGTACATTGCCACATATTTTCTTGGACAAACTGGAATTGTGTTAGCTCCCATCTGCATGGCTTCAGCTTCTCAAGCAACTTCCTTCCTTCTCCCACTCTGCTATGTTTCATTGAACCTTCCATCAATACCTCAAAAGATCTAGATATAGCTGATAGAATATCTTGATGAATAAATAAATATGCATTTCATCTAATAGCACCTTTTTAAATTAGTCTCTTTTATTTCAGCCAACTATGTTAATCTCTAAAATTCAGTAACATACTCCCACATCAAACATTCCCCCCCCCTTAAACATACTCCCACATCTTACTCTGTCAGAAGCAACAGATTTCACTTGAAGTTTTATGTGGTCAGAAACTACAGTTAACAGAAATATAATAGATTTCTTGCTGGACATTTTTTTCCTTGTTATTCGAATTATAGGTCATATTTCTAATAATTTTTTACACGTTAGGTTGTAAAATTGTTTTAATGATACTTTACAATTGGGTTGTAATATTATTATTGCATTGTGTTTGTATACACACATATGCACACACCCCTCTACATACACATACATTGTGACAATTTAAGACTCACTAGGTGGATTAATTTGTAAAAATATAAAACATGCTTTATATTACATATTTTTCAGTGGTCTTTTGATAATGAACAGAATAATTCTGCCTGAAATTAGGCATCGTAGTGTTGCAGAGTTTTTTCAGTAAAAATGAAATACAGCTATCTTGCTATTTTATAATATAATTGTCTGGTATAAAAACCACCTTTAAAAACTCTTTAAGTTGACGTTAATAAAATCATGTGGAATAAGTGCCAGAACAGAATAAAAAAAAATAGCAACAGAACATAATTGATATGATAACTCTTTATGAACGTGAAAAAACTGTGATGTGGTCAGGCCTCCTGTAATTACCATCAGAAATATATTTTAAAGTGTACATTTCCTTGCAATCTTCCTCAGCACAAGGACATAATCTGTCTGTTTGCCTGACAATATATGATAAAGGTAGGAAAGACATGCCTGNAGTTCCACCACAATTTTATCCAAAAGGCCTTAATAACCTTGCAAGTCCACCACATATGAAAAAAAGTTGCATCTTGTTGTCCACACCTCCAGCACTTGGATTCATAATTCTCATAAATGCGAGACATAGTTGCAGGATCCATGTGCCATCTATAAAACATTTTATAAAAATTCTCACGTAGATTTTGAGCTTGCGTAAACTTCACATTTCTCACCCATATCAACTCCCAGGTATCCATAGATATTGTTTCTCCTATAAGCCAACTATGTTAATCTCTAAAATTCAGTAACATACTCCCACATCAAACATTCCCCCCCCCCTTAAACATACTCCCACATCTTACTCTGTCAGAAGCAACAGATTTCACTTGAAGTTTTATGTGGTCAGAAACTACAGTTAACAGAAATATAATAGATTTCTTGCTGGACGTTTTTTTCCTTGTTATTCGAATTATAGGTCATATTTCTAATAATTTTTTACACGTTAGGTTGTAAAATTGTTTTAATGATACTTTACAATTGGGTTGTAATATTATTATTGCATTGTGTTTGTATACACACATATGCACACACCCCTCTACATACACATACATTGTGACAATTTAAGACTCACTAGGTGGATTAATTTGTAAAAATATAAAACATGCTTTATATTACATATTTTTCAGTGGTCTTTTGATAATGAACAGAATAATTCTGCCTGAAATTAGGCATCGTAGTGTTGCAGAGTTTTTTCAGTAAAAATGAAATACAGCTATCTTGCTATTTTATAATATAATTGTCTGGTATAAAAACCACCTTAAAAAACTCTTTAAGTTGACGGTAATAAAATCATGTGGAATAAGTGCCAGAACAGAATAAAAAAAAAATAGCAACAGAACATAATTGATATGATAACTCTTTATGAACGTGAAAAAACTGTGATGTGGTCAGGCCTCCTGTAATTACCATCAGAAATATATTTTAAAGTGTACATTTCCTTGCAATCTTCCTCAGCACAAGGACATAATCTGTCTGTTTGCCTGACAATATATGATAAAGGTAGGAAAGACATGCCTGATTTAAAATATTGATGAAGGACTAGCTAATTGAGTACAAGTGAACATTAAAATGAAAGCTGAAGAACATTGTGCTTAAAATCCTGATGATTATATTAATGTGCATGCTAATGAACAAGGAAAATGTTTGTCATTTGGTGTTGAAATTTAAAGCTATTACTATATTGATTATTAATACTTTTTACCTTTTAAAAAGAGGTTGTTGCCGCACAATAATCGCTGATTGATGTGATTGTTCATGTTGTCTGATATGCTGTTAAACATTGTACCATCAAATTGGAAAAAAGGTTTTATAGAAATAATTAATACATTTAAAGTAGAACAGAAAGCAATTAAGGTCATATAAACCTATGCCCACTGAGATAAGTGGTGCTGTTACAAATTACATTATTTCTTCCCATCTTATTTTATGCTGAATACTAGGTTTTATTGCCAAATAATTTCCAATCCTGACAGCCGGATTGGAAATAAGCCACAACTGTCAAAGTATAACAACTCTGACTATTTCAATCTGCTACATTATAATGTCCCTCATGGAAATTTAATGAGAAGTGTGTACTCAGACAGAATCTTTGCATAAGAAGGATGGACTGAATTTAATTATCTTTGTTAAAAATAAGAAAGGGAAATTCTTTTTCATTCACCTTGGTAGTATTGAAGACATATTATCCTGGTTGTGTGAATATTTATAAGGAAAAGAGAACTCAAGTGTATTCTTTGTAAATGAAATATCTTTTTTGGTAAAGATAAGTAAACTCACATTTGTAAAAGATGGAAATACCATTCTGCTATAGCAATATACACAAGTCATATTGTCAGTGATTACATAGCCCTAAGTGAGAAGGAAGTTATTAAGAAATGCAAACATTGGTCAAGTCTCCCAGGGTATCACTTTTAACTTTTTCAAACGCCTGTGAAAACTTTTCTAGAAATATATGGAATGTTCATACTATTTTCTAGCAAAAGATTTGAGGCTTCATTCAGACTGAAAAATATTATCTTCATTCCTTAAAACTGGCATGTCAGTACTAGTCATATTTAATAAAATAGTGCACAGTCCATAGTAGTTATTGATCTTTTCTCCTGTTTCCTTTTGCTTTTGGAGAAAAATCAGTGTAAAAATAAATAAGGCCTTTATAATCAATGAGAAACTACTGAATGTGATTTCTAGACTATAACAGCAATATCTGAATACTGTGTTTGATTTTTTTTAAAATTCTGGTCACACTTCTTAAATCAGATAAAGCTCTAGATTAGAGATTCTCATTATTTATGTTATACTCTTGAGAGAGCTCTGGCCTTATGTACAGTACATAAGTCAGAAGCCCTACATAACATCTTGAAACTACATATGATTTTGAAAGTAGAAATAATTTGAAAAACACCTCATGAGATACAATTGGTGTTTGCTATAGTTTGCTGTGGAATTTAAATGGTAAAAACAGATTTTCTGATAACTCATAGGATTATAGTTTATGAAATTAAAGTTACAGTCTTTTAAATGCTCGTTTGGAAACTGCAGTTGTGTTAATACAGTTGTTCTAATAAGGAATCCAGGAGGTTAGGTGGGCTGACTAAATACCTTAGATTCCAATTTAGATGAAAATAACCAAAGGTATAACCTAACTGAGTCTATAGATAAAATATTATTTTATCCAACAAAGGTTTCTGTCAGTGGAAGACCTTCAAGGTCCCTTCCAGCTCAATTCTGATTCTGAAATAAATGGTCATTTAATGACTGTTTGAAACTTTTACAATGGAATTTCTGGCTGTTGTAAAACATTTTGCTATAACTCCCTAATCATGTGATGAGGATATGGCTGCCTGGCAACCAGTTCACACTTAACAACTGGTCATCAAGTGTCCTATGATCATGTGATCGCCATTTGTAATCTTCTCTGCTGACTTCTGCTGAAAGTCCATGGGAAAAACCTCAGGGAAGGTTGCAAGCTGCTGCTGTCTGCTGAGAGGACTTCCTCTCATCTCTGGGGGCTGCCCGCCAAGGAGAGCTCAGTCTCTATGGCTGGGGTAGAAATGGAGCTTAGATCCCGAACCAGTGTGGTATAGAAAGCAGAGGTCAGATCCCAAGCGTTTGTGTTCTGTTCCCATAGTCTACCAGAAAAGTTCCCTTCTACACACAGAGGGGAGCTGTATTCTGCAGGCAGCTCTTTCAGTCTGGTCAATTTCTTGACCCAATAGATCACTTAATGACCACAACCAGAAGGGCCAGGATTGTGGTCATTCAACAGAGTTGACATTTGAGTGTCTCGCTTAACGACCACCTCACTCAATGACTGAGATTCCAGTCCCAGTTGTGGGTATAAGTCAAGAATCACCTGTACAGATTTTATCACCAATAAGTTTCACTAAGTTTAGGAAACTTGTCTTCCTTGAAAGGGCACATAGCTTTGTATCTTTAACTGCTTATGAGAAACCAAATTATTTTGACCCTGCAGCAAAAATCTGCATAGGTTGGAAATACAGAGCTTCCATTTCCCCAATGTTTTCAGCTGTCAGTGGAAGTTATAATTTATATCTTTAAATAAACAACATATCCTTGTAGGATACAAATTCTGAAAACTTTTAACTGCCTTCCCTTGGAAATTCTGCAAACAAATCAGGATCCTATCCGATTAAACAAGAATAGAATTAGAACTGGAATTATTTTGGTTCATGGTGTTGGGCAACCCTATCACCCTATGTGGAAAAAACTGAAAATTTGATTAAAAATAGGCCTGAAATACACAGAATCTGAAACGCATCTCTAAAAGAGATAAGGTTCATAATAAAAATTATATAAACTGAATTCTGTTTTCTTTCCAGAGGATCAAATTCCACGTGGTTTTCCCACCATTGATATGGGACCACAGTTAAAGGTGGTTGAGCGCACTCGAACAGCCACTATGTTATGTGCAGCCAGCGGCAATCCTGATCCAGAAATAACCTGGTTCAAAGATTTTTTACCTGTAGATACAAGCAACAACAATGGACGCATTAAGCAATTACGATCAGGTAAGGTATTGTTACTGTTTTCAGTACTGCTTTAATGCCTAAAATAATTCTTTCCTGGATTTTATTTTTTGCTGTTTTTGTTTTTTCCCCCTTTGTTATGTGTTTCTTTTATTTCTTTGGGTTGTGATTTATTCCTTCTCTTTTTTATGTTGTTGAGCGTGTTGTCCATTTGTGTCTTGTAGCCATAGTCTGTTTCCAGAATTTCCATAGTCTGTTTCCAGAATGTTTTGCAGCTTCTGTTTATTCCACATTACTCACTGCTGTGACTGTAGTTTCAATTTTTTTGTTCTTTTCTTTACTGCTTTTCAGCAGTATTTGATCCATTTTCTCTTCTACCTTTATCTATTATTATTATTATTATTATTATTATTATTATTATTATTATTATTATTATTATTATTATTCAGCATTGGACTTCAGGATATGCAAGGAGTACCAATGATTATTCTCATCCAACCCAAATTTGTCATTTTTGATGTTTAAAATACTATATAACAATTGTGTTTTATGAATTGTTTTCAATGTTTGAAATTCACCAAAGATTAGCCAGTTGGGACATATCTTTCTACCATCCACTGATACATGAAACACATTACTTTTTTCCTGTATACTATTTTTAACCGACATTTTTAAAAAACCAAACAAACTGCCGCTACAACGATAATAACTATCCTTGGGATATCCTTTGAAAGGAGAGATTATTATTGTTATTATTATGATTATTATGAATTGGCTAAAAGTTTTCTGGTGCATCTAGCCACAGTAGTGATTCTGAAACCTCCATAGTATTACAGTATCTGGATCTACAGAAGCCTGCTTTTCGTGTAGAGCCCAGCTTTTTTCTTCCCTTGTTTCCCTACCAGATGGAATACCTCATTATCCATATGCAGCTTCATAATACTATAACTAATGTTTATAAGTTGTATGCTTTTCCTCATATAAAATATATCATATAAGGGATGGAAAATGTAACGAGCTGCTTACTTCATAAATAATAATGCTATAAAATCAGTTGATTCCCAGAACGTTTACCTTTCCGACCGGTCCTGTGATGTTAAACCGTCTTGTTAACCAACTTCTATGCTTGTTATCAGCAGAATTGTGTAGAGTAAACCTCTTTTAATGTAAAGCTAGAAGTAATTTTCACATGTGACGTAGATTCTTTAATATATAAAGATTTAACTTGAAAGATTTTTGTACCAAATTATAAGGAATATAATAATATTTTTATGCTGTCTCTCTTCTCTCCGTATTTAAATCTCCAGAATCTATTGGTAAGTGCTTAGTTCTGAAGTGCACTTCACCCCCACTAATTTTCATATGCAGAAAACTATAATTATGGTATTATAATGCTTATTATTACTCTTAAAATGCATGGCATGCATTTTACTAACAGGATAGTCACCAGACATGTGATAGTAGTGCACACACAATCCTTCACAGAAATGTTGTTGTATAGAAACTCACAGTGAGAAAGAACAAAACACAAATGTCACATAGAGATAGCAAAGTAAGTGAAAAAAGAATCCAAAATAAACTCAGTGCTTATTTTTATAGTCTCTAGTATAACCACTTTCCCAATCTTTCTGTTTCTGTTTCTCTCTCTCTTTCTCCAGTATCTTTCCCTCTTTTTCTTCCCAGTTTCTCTTCCTAAACTGTTATTATTAACTGTAGAATTATAAAGATTTTTTAAGGATTTCAGACATATATAAGGTACTTTATTCCTCAATAATTCAAAGTCTAAGTTTTGTATGAATGAAGGAATTCCCCTGCCCCTGTCACCTCAGCCCACTTCCAAAGATGATGGCTTCCCCATTTTGGTATACTATTTTTTATAATCTAATTATAATGCCTAAATATATTCCTGTTTTGACAGTATAAAAAAGATTCCTTTAAGTCCTTATTTAATTCTGTAACTTTAATTTGATTCTTCTTCCAAAGCCCTAGCCTCCTTCTTCTCGTACTAATGCTTCTTCTTTCTAATCTTATTTGCATTCATATTATCTACCCAGGTGGTACACCAATAAGAGGTAAGATTGCTGAACTAACGTTCACAGAATGATCTTATTCTTTCTGTCCTCCCATCCCTTTCATTATTGTCATTTTTAAAAAAATAGATGCATAATCTAAATCAGTCATATTTATTTCTTCCTTTTGTCCTATTTAGTTATGGTCAGTGACTTTCATCTTGTGATTTTTTTTTTCCAACATATTTTTCACCTTCCATTTAAAAATGTGTTTTTTTCTGTTTTATTCTTTCTTTTTGAAAAAAAAGGTTTGTTATTTTGTGATATGCTTCAAAGAAAGCATATCCAGGTCTTAAGGCCACAACCCAGTCACAGCGTATCATTTGTCCCTCTTTTTCTTTTTTCTTCTTTTTCTACCTTTTTTTTTTTTTTTTTTTTTTTTTTTTTTTTTTTTTTTTTTTTAAAAAAAAATATTTTTTTTTTTTCTTCCTTAGCTGTTCTTTTTTTTTTTTTTTTGGACCAAGCCAAGATGGTCTGGAGAACAGTTGCAGACATGCAGAAGACAACAAGGAATATCTTCTTTTTAACTTTTGTCTTTAAAAAGGTTTCTTTTTTTTCTTTTTGTTCAAGTAGACTTTTTTCCTTTTAAATTCAATTATATATTTATATATAAACACATTCTTCTTCCTAATACAATATGTGTATTTTTTTCTTGGATTGACTCTTCAATGGATTTTTCGATCCTTCTGATCTTCAGACTTTGAAAATTGAAATGTTGATAACTGAGTATTCTTAATGGTATGTGGTATTGCCGGGTTTTAATCATTCTATAAACATTGTCCATGATGTCTTTTGTCATTCTTGTTTTCTATTTTTCTTGGGTTTTGTGACACCACACTGCTAATCCCAGTTGTGGATTTTGATGGGTGTCTTGGGGGGGCCACTCCGAGGTCCTCAGCAGTGGTTGGTTGCTTCTTCTTTGTTTATTTTTTAAACTTTTTTTCTTTTTTTTCTTCTTTTTTTGGTGCCTTCTAATTCAATCCTCTTGTTTTTCAGCAAATGCACTAAAAGATCGTAAATTGTAGCTGAATGTGTTTCTTTTTCTTACAAATCTGCATGTCTTTAAGGGAGTTTTGTTTCTTTTGATTACTATAAATAACTAATTTGTTTCCTTTTTCACTTCAAGCAGCCTTTTTTTTGTACTTGCTGCTCATTTTTGGGCTTCTTCAGAAGAAGATTTTCTTGAAATCCATCTTGCCCTTTTTTGCCAAGTTCCACACTTTTGTATTACTTTTACCACACACACAAACAAAAAGTAGAATTTAGTAAAACCAAATGTGATGACCCGATAATCTAATCTCCTTTGTTTTATTTTAAAGCCATACCTCCTTGAAGCAGTCTCACCCATCTTCATTTTAATAATCTGGGAGAAAAAAGTATTATGCTAGAGAATCGTTTGCCAAATGCAGATTGTTTTCCTGTTTTAGTACTGATGGTGTGAAAAAAATAATCTCCTTGTTTTTTTCATCACATCATTTTTTTTTGTCTGTGTTACCTTAGCGAGAAAATGAACCGACGTTGAGTGGACCTTCGCTTACAGGGTTTTTCATTATTGTTAAACGGTGTATTGTTACGAGTTTGAAAAACTTTCTTTTTGACGATCTCTTTGGGAATATATTTTATATCCATACAGGTGCTCTCCAAATCGAATTGAGTGAAGAATCTGACCAAGGCAAATATGAGTGTGTTGCAACCAACAGTGCGGGTACTCGCTATTCTGCCCCTGCCAATCTTTATGTCAGAGGTAGGAATGACATAACTCTGGCATCAACCCTTCATTCAGGCTCAAGGGTGTTAAGATTCTCTTGAGGTTTATCTTTTAGCAACTTGTAGTATTCAAGGTATTATGGGAAAACTTAGCAGGAAGAGCAATGGTCTAAAAGCTTAGTGGAAAACTTTGGGGAAAAAAGAAAGGCGCTATTGACTCTAATATGTCCCTGTGATTTGAAGGTTGTAAGTATATTTGTATTTTTTTACAGTTTGACTTTTCCTGCATTGGCTAGTTACCTGAACGTTGTATTAATTGGGGATTTTTTTTTCTATTGTTTTTTCTTCTTTCCTTTATTTTTGGTGCATTTAAATTCCCAGTATTATTGCTTGCTGTGAATCTAATTTAACTGTAATTGAAACACAAAGTACTGAGGTATGTTTCCTTGTGACCTCTGTTAAAAGGAAAAAAAAATTAGTTTGAAAATTCTTAGGAAAAAAGACCCTGGTGTTTTCCTTTTCTGTCAACCCTTCCCCCATATATTCAATATTTAATTTGAAATATTAACTGAAATATGTAATCTGTAATTATGTATTAATGAACTACCTGTTCTTTGAATTTTTTTAAAAAAGAGGAAGAAAGGGGAGGAAACTGTCATAATTTTAATAGATATGAAATGGTGATCCATGTAAGCATTATTAAAAAAAAAAATCCACGGAAGTATTCTCTTTTGTATCTTCTTGGCATATTTTGAGTCTTTAATAGCTTTCTGCAAAGTGAGAGTGCTAAATGAAAGGGTGGGTTAGAAAAGCAAAGGTGTATTTTGTTTTTGTTTAAACATACAGTTTTAGCTCATGACATTGTCTGGGGGTTATAATATACAACTTCCTCAAAAATATTTATGATTTAATTTGAAGGGCAGAAAAGGTTCAGAAATGATTATGGCCTTCTTAGAAAGCTACCTAATCCTTTCCCTTTTGAAAATATTATACTGCATGAGGCATGTGTGCCATTGTTATCTGAAGGGATTTTCTTTCTTTCTTTCAAACAATGCTAATTTCTAACACCGTAATACCTGTGAAAAATTGCTAACAGAACTGAGGTAGGAAGGTTTGAGTAGAACAAGTAAAAGATGTTCAAGTAGCCATTGAAAGCCTTGATATGGCCTTTTTACTCTCTCTGTGTTTCCCTTGTTTTTCTCCTTTCCTCATTTCATTGTGTTCTGCATCAAACCCCCTACATCCCTCAGAGCTGCGAGAAGGTTGGTGTGTTTTTTACTTTTTTACCCACCTTACAAAACGATTAATTAAGCCAGTAACAAAGAATACAAATGAAATGAATGTAGTTGCATTGTGGCCTTTTTATTTTTATTTTTAAGTTAGTGTTACGTTAAAGCAGAGAATGCCCTGGTCATGGCTTTTAATGTGTGATGGTATCTGATTGTTGTGCATGGTCAAAGAAGAAGAAAGTCTGGATGCATGACCAACAGCGGTAATACTCCTGAATGCTTAAGGCCTTGCCAATTTGGTCAGTGTTCCTGCTTTTTCCTCCCTTCTTCCAGTTTTCTTTCCTTTTCTTTTATGTTGTCGATGCCTGCTGATCCAGGAATGACTTTCTGCAATTAATTGCTCCTCCAAGCACTCCTTAAAGCATGAAGACTAAAACTTCTCTTGTGTTTTAGTTTTATTTTAAAAACAAAGCAAAACTCCCCCCCCCCCAAATTACTCTGTTTGGGATTACAGAGTCTGCACTGCCTGTCACTTGCTTGTGTAACTTTTCATCAATTGGCTGTTAAAGGCATGTTTGCTCCTTCTTCTCCTTGTGCCCCTCCCATTCACTCATGAGGCCATCAGAGTAAGCCTCTTTCATGTCTATAGACATTTATTTATTCAATCCAGTAGGAAGGTTGAAATTAAAGAAATGTTTGTCTGGAGCTTATGGTCTTGACCCAGCTAAGGTTTTTCCTATATAAATAACTAAAAACATCCCCATAACTCCCATTGTTAATAATAAGACTTAGGTGTCAATTTCTCTCAGTCAGGACCACATTGATTTACTGTATTTATCATCACTAAGCGGTACAATTTAGCTTCTTATCTAAAAAGCTGGCATAATAAAGGATGTAGTATTTTGTAGAATAAAAGGCCTCAATTTGTTGCTTCGCCTTTTTCAACACTTGCAATATACAAATGTAATATACAGAATAAATGAAGCAGGAACACTGATTCTTAATCATTATCTTGCTGTTGTGCTTTGCTTAAATACCGATTACCTTATTAATGCAATACCTTGTTGCTATGTGTTAGAGATACTAATATCCCTCATTTTTTACACATAGAACTGCTTTTAACATTATCCTAATCCTGGCAACTTATTTTTCTTTCCCTTTTATGTGAAAACTATGGAATCTGGAATGCTTTACTGTTATCCTTCTTCACCACCATAACTTGCTTCGTAACAACCTTAGGCTAAATCCAGTACCTTCCTACTTCTTACCTTATCTCCTTAAAAACCCTATTTGTTTCAAATTACCATATCCTCGCATTTTAAAGGTGATCTTCACTGTCTTAGTACGTTTCCCTCCAATCCTTTAATTAGTTTTACTTCCTAATAAAAGTTTCCCTTTCCTAAGCATGATTCCTTTTAAACTGTGTCCCTTGCTTGCCTGCATGATCAAATCCAGAACTCATATTGGCTTTGCCTTGTTTCTTCTCCTATGATTTTAATATATATATATATATTTAAGATAATTATGGACATATATATATGTATATATATATATATATATATATATATATATATATGTATATGTATATGTATATGTATATGTATATGTATATGTATATGTATATGTATATGTATATGTATACGTATACGTATACGTATATGTATACGTTTGTATACTTGTATGTATACGTGTGTCCATGTGTGTGTGTTTATACACACACACACACATATATATATACACACACACACATATATACACACACATATGTATGTATGTATGTATGTATGTATGTATGTATGTATGTTTTCCTATGTTTGTTTCAGTGTCAATGTGAGGTCTTGAGGCTGCATCCACTTTTGGGTCTGAAAGCAAATCAGAGTTGTATTTTCAGTGTACTGTAGGTGATGTGTTCCAAGGCTCTGATGTGATGATGTGATGCAACACATTTTTTTACATCAGTTGGCTGGAAGTGTACAGCACTGAAGTTGATTTTAATGCTCAACTCAAGCATGCTGTCAGCTTTCCAGTTTTTTCTATAAATATATGTATAAAGAATAGAGATGTACATGTATGTGTTTGTGTGTATTGATGTTTATGTATTGCTAGTGTATAGTTATTTAATTGTCGATTACTAAGTATTAAAAATAGTATGAATGTGCTATAAGTTAATGATTACATGTATAAAGAATTAATTTTATGTACAAATATCTCTCTTTAGTTTTCTTTTTCTGAGTTAAGAATACCAATTAGTGCTTTAAATTGTGTTTATATATGCATGGAGTCTTGTGTGGAAGCTCTAAGTTCCCAGTTTTTATATGGGTCATTAGTTTTATTTGTGCTTCTTTGTAGTTCGCCGGGTCCCACCAAGATTCTCAATCCCACCCACCAACCATGAAATTATGCCTGGAGGAAGTGTTAACATTACCTGTGTTGCTGTGGGGTCACCAATGCCATATGTAAAATGGATGCTGGGAGCTGAAGATCTGACACCAGAAGATGATATGCCAATTGGAAGGAATGTCCTAGAGCTCAATGATGTTAGGCAGTCTGCTAATTATACTTGTGTGGCCATGTCCACTCTTGGTGTTATAGAAGCAATAGCACAGATAACTGTAAAAGGTACAACACATTTAACCTTCCTTTTTTTAATAAAAAAAGTTTCAGTAGTAACCCACAATTTTGCAAAGAAGGTTTTTTTTACTGATTAATTATACATACACATAGGCTGCCAGTGTCTCAATTTAAATATTTTATTTAAAGGTGTTTAAAATAAGGCCCAAGTTACTTCTGAAAATTAAAATTACTTCCTTGCCAGCTGATTACAAGAATAGCTGATATAAATTCCAAAAATAGGTGGGAAAAGAGTCAAAGAGGAGCCAATTTATATATCCATTCCTAGCCATTTAGAAAGAATCTATAATGTTGCCAGAAACCTAGGCCAGACTAAATGAAATAGAAAATAGCCCCAACTTAGCAAAAACCTGGCCACTAGTTAATTAGGTCTTTTTCTGATTGCTGCTCTGCCCAAGATTGAATGTCTCTGCTAGGTTTTTGTGAGAAATAGATACAATAATGAATAAATGGGAAAGGAGAAGAACCTGGTTACTTGCCTTAATTCCTTTCAGGCTGTTCTGTCCCCCGTCCGACTCACACACCCCAACCAGTCAGCCGAGGGCTAAAAGACTGCTCAGCACTGCCAAACACAGATAAACACTTGGCAGCAACTCCGTGGCTGCCTGCCAAGACCTTTACTGATAACTCACAGTACAAATACAAATCAAAGTCCAGGATAATTCCGAAGTGCTACAACAGAAGATTCAGTATTG